AGCCCAACTTAACCACTGCACACAACTGCTAAGAAAAGACAAAGCCGCATATTAGAGCATCCCAAAAATCTTCAGTGCTAACCACAAACTGCTGTACAAGCACGTCAATCGCCTACGAAAGGTGTATGAAAGACGGTGGATGGTCCAACAAGAACGGTTGTGGAGGCAGCAAACGCACTGCGAATGCAATACCCCCTTCGTTTTAGAGGATCTTACCACCAATCTTTGTCATCTCTCCACCAGGACTAACCCACATCACTTTTACTGCGGAGGCTGTATTGCAAATGCTGACATCTCTACGCAAACACAGCTCGCCAGTTGTCGATACTGTTCGCCTAGAGGCGCTGGAAACAGTAGTAAGCCAACTGGCAGGACATATAGCTCATTTTTTCCAGCGCTGCTTAGACCAGAATCTAGTTCCCGCTACGTGGAAGCCTGGGGTAATAACCCCGAAAAACAAAAGTGAGGTGAAACTGAGCCCTGTAACTACAGCCCAGTTTCCCTTCATCCTATACAATCTAAGGTCGTAGAATCCATGGTTGCCGATGCACTAGTGAGCCATCTGGAAAACTGCAACGTCATCACGCCTGAGCAGCACGGTTTCCGCCGACAGCCGTCATACACAACGAATTTACTAATTGCACGCAGTAGTTGGACTGAGTCAGCTGACGCTGGAGGAGGCGTTGGTGTTATCTGTAAAGGACAATTTGCTCAAGTGCCATCGCTACACCCCTGGAGCAATTCCCCATCCAATTTTCCCCATGTCCCTGCTTCTTTTTACAACCACATTCGAAGTCGGTTACTTTTTCACACCTGACAGCTACTCATGTGTGTTCTTTGTTAACCTGACTATTGCTCCTTCACATCAATCCGCCCATGAATTGTCGTCTACCCTATTGATTACCTTTTGTTCACCTCGCACCTAGACGTCTAATTTGCGCATCGACCCTCTCACTCTGTTCAATTCCGACTGACTCACTTCGTTCACCCCAATGTCTGTCCTAGCTCTGGGACAAACCGTGTCTGGATTCACAGCTTCAATGCTTTCCCCCTAGACTGATTCTAACCCCTTTGTGATTGGTTATAGACTGCATGCGCCCTGATTCGTCCCGGCCGAGGCTAGTATACCTCCAGTGTGTTGGGCTTTAGTCGCACTGTGATTAAGCCAGCAAGTGGTCGCCCGTTGTCGTGATCGTTCATTGTGTACCCAGTTTGTGAGGATACCGTTGGTATGTTGTACATTTGTTATTTTATTCTTGTAACATAGAACACCGTAGTTCAACGACTGTGGCCTTTTTTGCTGTTACCGGTGGGGTTGCCTCAGTTCCGGTTCTTTGGTCGCTTGTTGAATCGATCTCGGAGGCCGCGGTTTGGTTGGCAACGCGTCGTCCAACTATCCTCTAAGCGTTTTGTCGCTTACAGTGTTCAACGTCTCCTGAATTCGGACCAAGTGTTCCTCGAGTTACGGCTGGAAGACCTCCTCTTTTAATTGCATAATGAAAACCAGAAGAATGGCGTTAATGTATTGCGAGGAGACATCGAGCGGATCACGGCAAGTTGGTGATTTACCTGTTGTTGATGATCATGTTTCTTGTCCTGGATCGCACTCTAGTCGTAATGGCAGTCATGTACAGGTTTCCTTTAACGCGCGTAATGCTTTAAAACTTGCTGAGCTTAAGAAAAGACAAGCCGATACTGAGCTAGAATTAGCTAAGTTGCGTTTGGAAATGGAGGAGGAGGCAGTTACTCAGGAACATCTCCCTACTGTAAGTCATGTGCCCAAAGGTGGGGAAGAGCAGATGAGCCGGTTCCTAAAGGACTGTCAAGAGATGGCGCCTCATACAGTAAATCCTGTGTCATGTCCCCAATCTTCTCTGGCAGTTTGTTATCCTTTTGCAGAGCTTCCGAAGGTGGAGTTAGAATATTTTGACGGTGACCCATCGAGCTACTGGAGATTTATCAAGCAGTTTGAATATTTTGTTGAGAACCGCGTGATTGATAATGGTCAGCGCTTGTTATATCTTGTGTATTATTGCAGAGGACGCGCCAACGAAGCGATTCGTGAGTGTACAATGCTTCCGCCTGAGCAGGCTTACAATAGAGCTCGTTGTATTCTTCGTGATCTCTTTGGGCAAAATCATGTAGTGGCACGGTCACTGATCGACGGTTTGCTTGCAGGTTTGAAACCCATGGCTGATGACTCCGAAGCTTTATCCCGATTGTCGTTGAAAATGGAGAGCTGTTATGTGGCACTGTCTCAGATGAACTATATGGCCGACCTAGATTCCATAGCCACTATTGAGAGGATAGTTCGCTTCTTACCTAGCGCTCTGCAATCTCGATGGGCGAGAGTGGCTGATTCTATCGTTCAGGAAAAGCGGGAAGTCAGCTTTTGTGATTTGGCAGCTTTTGTTGCAACGGAGGCTAGGGTTGCACGTAGCAGATTTTGCCAGATAGCGAATGCCAATGTGGCACGAAGTCAGCTTGCTATGCATCCACCTCGATTAGCCGATAAAGGAAAGGGTCGCAACCTTTGTTTCTGCACTACATCAAAGAGGACCAACAGAGTTACTTGCATTATTTGTGACGGCGAACATGATATGGAGTCTTGCACGAAATTTCTAGCCATGGATGTTCCAGGCCGCTGGGAACTGATCAGAGCTAAGGCTGCTTGTTACAACTGTCTAGGGTCCGGTCACCACTCCGCAACTTGTCGAAACCGGAAGGGATGCAACGTGTCTACTTGTAACGGTCGGCATCACTCGTTGTTGCATCATGACAAAGCTCCTAATCCTTCACGCAATGAATATAGCAGCTGTAATGTTACCTCTACTGCTCCAGGCAGAGTTTCTTTGGGCGTTGTGCCCGTACGTTTGGATGGTCCAGTACGGTCTATTGAAACGTATGCCTTGTTGGATAGTGGATCGGATGTGACCCTAGTTCAAGAGGATCTTCTAAGGGAGGCAGGCGTAAAGGTTAGCCCCACTTCTTTAACCATGCAGACCGTGAGTGGCCTCACCTTCTTGGAAGCTGGCCTAGCCAAGTTTCGCTTGTCTGCCTTGAGGGGCCCCGAGTATGTTACAGTTGAACGCGCTTATTGTTTGAAGCGATTGCCACTACGTCCAGTTGCACGCACTAACGGCCAGTTGGGGCGTCACTGGCCGCACTTGTCTGACATCCAGTTCGATGCTCTGACTGATACCCGAGTTCGGATATTGATAGGAGCCGATGTACCAGAGGCACATTGGCAGCTTGAGCGCCGTGCTTGTGGTCGGAAGCGCCCGTTCGCTGCTAGAACACCCCTAGGGTGGATATTGCTGGGGCCCGTGAACACGAGCCCTGAGGGTTGCGTTTCGGTGCATTGTGTGCAAGAGGAGACAACTTCGATCGAGACACAGCTTAAAATGTTATACGACGGTGGATTTGAGAGTGCTGGTTCGAGTCACCGTTCCCTTTCGATGGAAGATAAGGCAGCATTAGAAATCGCTGAGAATTCCGTGAGGCTCGTTGAGGGGCACTTCGAGGTGGCCCTCCCGTGGAGAAAGCGTCAGATGATAGTTCCTAATAACTTCGTGTCTGCTCTCCATAGATTACATTGTTTGAGTCGACGACTGGTAAACGACCCGACAATGTGTGAAAGGTACACGGCTGCGTTGGAGACGAGCATTGCAAAGGGCTACGCCGCGCTAGTACCAAGTGAGCAATTACAACCTAGCTACACACCGAGATGGTATTTACCGCATCATGCCGTTATTAATCCGAAGAAACCAGAAAAATTAAGAGTGGTCTTCGATTGTGCAGCCAAGCACAAAGGGTTGTCACTCAATGACCAATTGTTGCAAGGGCCGGACACTACTGCTAACCTCACTGGTATACTGATGAGATTCAGGTCTGAAAGGGTGGCTATTTCCGCAGATATCGAGGACATGTTCATGCAAGTAAAAGTGCCAGCGAAAGATAGAGCTGCACTGCGGTTTCTATGGTGGAAGAACAACGTGATTGGTTCGGAGGTGGTGGAGTACCAGATGACTGCGCATCCATTCGGAGCGACTTCCTCACCATTCTGTGCCAACTTTGCCCTGCGTCAGACTGCCAAAGCGTGGGGACACCAATACAGTGAGAACGTCTCGGCTGCTGTGTGTCGTGATTTTTATGTTGATGATCTTTTGATTTCACTCTCTACTCCTGCGGAAGCGCGCTCGTTTGTAACGCAGATCAGAGAGATGTTGAGCAGAGGCGGCTTCAAACTATGCAAATGGGTCTGCAATATCGACGAGGTTTATGAGGTGGTCCCATCTGCCGAAATTGCGGAGACAGTAAAGCCAATAGCTGAGTTACCGGGGTTAGTTAGCAGGACGTTGGGGTTGTCTTGGGATTCCAAGCAGGATGTGTTTCTTTTCCACTTTGCGGTATCCGAAGGTCCAAACACGAGGAGAGGAATCTTGTCCGTTGTGTCATCTATCTTCGATCCTTTGGGTATGATAGCCCCACTGATCATGCCGGTGAAGCTATTGCTGCAACAGTTGTGTCGAGATAAGGTAGGCTGGGACGAGTTGATTACCGGTGATAGCGAGGCGGCCTGGCATACCTGGATAAGAATGACCAAGGCGTTGGGTTTCCTGAAAATTCCCCGTTGCATTCGTAATGGCACTGAGAGTTTAGGACCTCCACAATTGCATATATTTTGCGATGCTTCTGAAACGGGATACGGGGCGGTGGCTTACGCCAGGTTCCGCCTTAAGGGCAACAGACGCTGCGCTTTGTTGTACTCGAAGTCAAGAGTGGCTCCTTTGAAGACTGTCTCTATTCCGCGGTTAGAATTAACTGCGGCTGTGCTCGCCACGCGTGTATTTGAGGATGTGACCGAGAGAGCCCAGCTGGAATTTGAGAACGTCTGGTTCTGGACGGATTCCACAACAGTCTTGTACTACATTAATGATACATCGAAGCGATTCAGTACCTTTGTTTCAAATCGATTATCGGTAATTCATGATTTGACGGACCCTAGTCAATGGAAGCATGTCATGTCTGGTAGTAACCCAGCTGATATACTCTCAAGAGGTAGCTATTCTTCTGCACGTTTGGAGAGCTGGTTCTATGGGCCAGATTTCTTACTGAGCGATAACGACGAATGGCCAGATAAGTGTTTGAATTCCGAACCGCATGACATAGAATTAAAGCGTGTGAAGGTCCAGGTGAACATGGTGGCATGTCAATCCTCCTTGTCAATCTTAATCCGGAGATATTCCGATTGGTTCAAGTTGTTGAAGTCATTTGTGTGGCTAATCCGAGTCAAAAGGTACCTGAAGGCTCGCGCATATGATTCTGATATCGGCCCACAGTATACCAGTTTGATTACTCTCCACGAACTCAAAGGGGCAGAATTTGATGTCACTAGATTAGCACAGAATGAAGTTTACGATGATGAAATAAAACGAATGGAAGAGACAAAGGAAGGAACAATGCCACCTAAAAGAAAGGCACGGCAAGGGAATGTGTCGCAGCTCTGCCCCATCTTGCGAGATGGAATACTGTGTCTGGGAGGAAGACTAGCATACTCGGATTACGACAGTTCCTTTATATTCCCTGCTATTATACCTCCAAGGCATGCGGTCACTGCGTTGCTGATAAGATTGTATCATAATTTTGAAGGTCGGTCGGGCGCCTCACAAGTTTTGGCGAGTTTACGCCGAAAAAACTGGATTGTTAGGGGATTATCTGCCGTAAAGAGAGTATCTACGCCTTTGAATTCCAGAGAGAAATGGCCAAACCCGTGTCGGAATTTTAAACCGGGAGACGTGGTTATAGTTGTTTCTGAAGCTGTTTCGCGCAAAATGTGGCCGTTGGGAGTAGTTGAAAGCAGTGTCACGTCCCAAGATGGTCTCGTAAGAACAGTGAACGTCAGGACGAAGGATGGTTTATTGAAGAGGGATGTGCGAAAGGTTTGTTTGTTAGAAGGTAGTCGACTAGAAGGGGGCGTAGTTCCGGCTACTGGCTCTCCGCAGGCGGGAGGCGGATTTTCGAATCTGCCGCTCCAGGGAGGACCGCTGTGAGTCCAGTAGCTGAAGTGGGAGGTGCAGGCGTACCGGTGTAAGTCCTGTATCCTCCCAGCGTGGATGGAGCGGGGGGATAGGCGATCCAGGCGAGAACATGCCCTCAACAATTTGAAAATCCTGGTCAGATTTTCGCGGGGGAGTGTAAAGGACAATTTGCTCAAGTGCCATCGCTACACCCCTGGAGCAATTCCCCATCCAATTTTCCCCATGTCCCTGCTTCTTTTTACAACCACATTCGAAGTCGGTTACTTTTTCACACCTGACAGCTACTCATGTGTGTTCTTTGTTAACCTGACTATTGCTCCTTCACATCAATCCGCCCATGATTTGTCGTCTACCCTATTGATTACCTTTTGTTCACCTCGCACCTAGACGTCTAATTTGCGCATCGACCCTCTCACTCTGTTCAATTCCGACTGACTCACTTCGTTCACCCCAATGTCTGTCCTAGCTCTGGGACAAACCATGTCTGGATTCACAGCTTCAATGCTTTCCCCCTAGACTGATTCTAACCCCTTTGTGATTGGTTATAGACTGCATGCGCCCTGATTCGTCCCGGCCGAGGCTAGTATACCTCCAGTGTGTTGGGCTTTAGTCGCACTGTGATTAAGCCAGCAAGTGGTTGCCCGTTGTCGTGATCGTTCATTGTGTACCCAGTTTGTGAGGATACCGTTGGTATGTTGTACATTTGTTATTTTATTCTTGTAACATAGAACACCGTAGTTCAACGACTGTGGCCTTTTTTGCTGTTACCGGTGGGGTTGCCTCAGTTCCGGTTCTTTGGTCGCTTGTTGAATCGATCTCGGAGGCCGCGGTTTGGTTGGCAACGCGTCGTCCAACTATCCTCTAAGCGTTTTGTCGCTTACATTATCTACCTAGATTTTTCGAAGACTCGATCGTCTAGACCATCGGATACTACTCT